AAAAAAAAAAAAAATTTTCCAGTGTTTGCTGCTAGGGACCCTGGGAACACAGGTTTGGGGCCTGTGCCCTAGGCAGGGGCCGTTTGGCATTAAAGGAGAGCAGCAGGGGGGTTGGTGGCTACAGGGCAGGGGACATCCACAGAGATTATGTACAAAGGAGGGGATGCCCCCGGCTCAGCCCCCAACAGGGCTGAACTGGCTCATGGGGGTGGGGTGCCCGTAGGGGGAACTGGCCTCACCTGGAGTGTCCCCACCCGACCCTTTGCTGAGGGTGCCCCAGAGGGGAAGGGGCTGGGAGTGATGCCTTAGAGGCCCCTGCACACTAGAAGGGGGGGATGCTATGTACAGGGGGAGGTGCATGGAATGTGGGGGACAGAAGCTCCTGCCACCCCACCTCCCCATCCTTGGGGACTTGAGGGGGGCGGGCACCAGGGCGCCTGGCTGCCAGGGGACAGTGGCAGCACTAAGGGCACTTGTGCCAGCGGCTCCGTTGGGGTGGGGATTAGTGTCTGGAGTGGCCCAGCTCCCATGGCCAGTGAGGTCCCAGTGCAGGTGAGGGTGCAGGGAGAGTGGTCACTGCTTCTTTTCTCGGGTGGTGATGGTGACCAGCTGCTTGGCAGCCTTGGCGATGTCATAGGCGCACTGGATCACCTGCTGAGTCAGCAGCTGGAAGTCCACAGGGGCGCCAGGCTCCGGGGGCACGGTCTTCCGGCACTCACTCTGCAGCCGGTAGGCGCTGGCATTGAGCAGCCGCAGTGAGCTGCGCACAGGCTCCAGGGCTGGCCTCTGGAGGGAGGGAGGAGGGAGTTGGGCCTTGGACTTCAAACCATGAGCCATGAACATGGCCCAGTGTGTCCTCCCTCGTCTCCACCCAGGTAGTGGTCACATTCCCTACACCTGCCCCACCCTGAGAGCCTTCCATTCCTGCTCTTCTCTCTGGCCCCTGTACCTTTGGGAAGAGAGAGGCCATCTCCGTCACAGCCAAATGGATCTTCTCCGAGCAGGGCACAAAGCTGTGGGGGCAGGGGAGGGGAAATATCGGCAGGGTTTGCGGGGACAGATCATTGGTCACCCCCCACCCCCTTGCCCTCTGCAATACCCAGGGGCTGCTGTGAGCCCTTTACCTGTCATGCTTGAATTCTTGGGCAGCCCGCAACAATTCCTGGATGTTCTTGGTGACCTGTTCCGTCTTCAGGATGACATCCTCTGTGCTGGGAAGCCCAGGGTCAAGGTCTCCATCCAGGCTTTCCAACTCTGGGTGGAAGTCTTCTTCCTTGCCCAGCTCAAGAAACCTCTTCCCCTCCAGCCTGAGGTCAGGGTTAGAAAGAGACATTCCAGTGGTAAGCCGCTTGCCTGTACCCTCACAGATCCTCCAGAGCCCAGTCAGCCTTCTTCCCTGGGGTGTCTCACCCAAGCAGTGGGTCCCCGCTTTGCGTGTTCTCATAGTCACTGTCAGCACCACTGCCGTGGCGGGAAAGCTTGCTCTGGAGGATCAGGGAAGGGGTAGTGGGTGAGGTTCACATTCACAGACCCACACAGCCCATCACCTGTCCCCTTGGGGATTGGAACATTACCGTATGGCGGCTTCCTTCCTGGGAGCAGGACAGTAGTGGGGAGGAGGGAGTGAAGGGCACGGCTGAGGCTGACACCCCCTTCCGGATCTGAAACCCAGGAAGACTGGAGTCAGTCTCTCCTCCCTGCCACCCGCCTTCCAGCTTCCCGGCAGTGAGGGTAGGGACCAGGTATATCTAGTCATTCCTGTGCCCAGCAGCAGCACAAAGCCTGACACCCACGGGGCTCAAGACCTATCTGCGGAAATGGATCCGCTTCCTCCAGGCCCTACTTACCCGGTAAAGGCCAGCAGGGACATGCACTGAATAGATGGCATCATCCTCCAGCTCCTGGGGATTGGCACAGGTGTCACGGAGGGCCCTGCGGCAGCCCCAGCCCTCTGTTCCCCCCCAATCCTTGAGACCCACAGGCAACTCACAGTGCTGTGGAAAGGCTGTAGCCGGGTAGAGAGCTCATCCCCAGGCGGGGCCCCAAAGGGCTTCAGGGCAGAGCCTGGTTCATACATGGAGAAGGCCTGGCGGTCCCTGCGATGGGCACTCCCGCCAGGCCCCATGGGTGTGTGTTCTGCCCGCTCGCTGGGCAGTGGGGGTGTGGGCACTGGCCCGGGTGGCTGCCGGATCTGCAAGTTCTCTGCCTGCAGCTTGTGGATCTGAGAGTGGACAGTGATGTCAGAAACTCCAGAGGATCCAGGCAGCACCCCACCTCTGGGAGCGGAGGATCCTCTCCGACCTGGGCACTCCCACCAATGCTGCAGCCCTTACCTCCCTCTGCAGCCTCCGGAGCTCATCACTCAAGCTGCTGTTGACCTTCATGAGCTGTTGCACCTTTGCCTCGGAGGTAGCCAGAGCCTTCTTCAGCTCCAGATATTCCTGCAGCGTCACGGCCCCATCGGACAGGTCTGAGGAGTCCATGCTCTGCAGAGTGAGAAAGAAGCTGGTTAGCCATCAGGGGCAGGGGGTGAATGCCCACAGAAGACTGTTCTCGAGGCCATAACCAGCCCACTAGTCCCTGAAGCCCTGGGCTACAAGGGGATAGAGCCGGGCCTTAATGGAGGCCCGGGGAGGGGCAGTGCTCAGACCCGGGCACGGTTGTTCCTAGTGGCACCGGCGCTGCGCAGGGGCTCCTGGTCCGTGTCCTCGTCTGAGGCCACACTGTCGTAATCGTGCTGGTCGTCGAGGTCACTCTGGCTCCGCGCAGATAGCTCAAGGTTGTCTGAGGACATAGTCCAGTTACTCAGTATTCTGCCACACGACCCTTCCATCATGCCACCCCAAAAGGGAGCCATGAAAGAATATACTAGAAAAACACCCACTGCCCTCAGCCCTAGCCACACCCTTCCCACCTGTGGGGCTGCTCAGGCTCTTGCCCTGCTGTCTCCGCTTGGCCTCGCTGAGAATGTCAATGATCAAGGTGGCAAACTCTCGGGCATTGAAGCGGGCCAGCTTCTGTCGCCCCTGGTAGGCAGAAAGAACCCAGCCTGCATGACGGGCCCCCTTACAGCTGATAGATGGGTGTGGGAACAAAGCAAGGCCGTCCCCTGCCACCTGGCTCACCCGGCCAGATTCTGGGTGCCTGGGGAGCTCCCAAGAAGAGGCTGGAATGTCCCCCAGAAGCTGCTCACGAAGAGCTTAAAAAAAACCTTTCCCCCAAATCCCAAATCCCAGTGCTAGCAGGGCCCTGAGAGAGGCCTAGGCCAGGGGAGGAGAAGAGCAGGCCCAGGCAGAAGCCCACACAACAGCCGGTGAGGAAGGGCAGGGCCCGCGAAGCTGGCGACCCCAGCAGGGGAGGAGAGGCCCCTGTCCGGCCCCCTCACCTGATTCCGCGTGGCCGAGTACTCGGGGTTCACAGGCAGGAAGGGCACAGCGCTGCGCTCCGTCACCAGGGTGCTGTGGTTCTGGGTAGCCAGCCACACTGGGGGAGGAGGAGGGGGGGAGGAGCAGGGAGCAGATCATCCAGAGCGTCCACGGTGGCCAGGCCCACGGGGTGGAGGTGGGGATGTGCTGAGCACAGCCTTCCTCAATCCTCCCCACGTCCACCAAGTGCTGGTGTTCAAACCAGGGGTGGTCTTCAGACACCGGAGGCAAGGTTGGGTCAGGGCAGGGCTGGGCGAGGCCAGCAAGACTGGCCAGGCCGATGACGACGAACAGAATGAGGCGACTCCTCCTTGCCAGGCCCAGCCCAGGGTTTGGGCTGGAATCTGGCTGTGGCCAGGAAGGAGTGATGTAGGGGGGGGTGGAGTGGGACTGGGGAGTGAGCCAAAGTGGGAGGCAGCCAGAGCAGAGATGAGCCCCAGTCCAGGGGTGGGGGCGGAGGAGCAGGCTGGCTGCCTCCAGCTCAGCACGCTCCGCCTGGCTGGGGAGGCTGCCCGGGCTGCTCACAGCCAGCAGGGGTGGAGAGGCAGACCTGCCGAGCAGACCAACCTCAGGCCTCCCTTCTTAGTCCCAGCAAAAGGCCCCAAGAGCCACACCAGGTCCCAGCCCTTCCCCAGCAGGTGGGTAGGTACCCGTGTCTCATCCACCCTCAGCCTCAGATGCCCTCTTGGCTCACCAGCGTCATTTTCTCTTCTGTCTACCTCATCGTACACATCCATGGCAAGTTCCTCAAAAAGCCGGTTGCTGAGCTAGAGACAAAAGGGGGACCCCGTCTTTGTCAAATCAGTTGGTCCCCAGTGCTGACAAGGCCAGGTCAACCAGGATGTCCTAAGATGTGGGAAGTGGCCTGTGTCCTTTATGCTGCCCAGCCCCCACAATCTCAGAACTGGAAACTGGGGCAGGGGTCTCTCTGCCAAGCTCCAAGGTGGGAGAGGATGGAAGGGAGACCAGATCAGACCAGTTAGTGCCCTGGTAGGTCAGAGGTGGAGCTAGGGCCCAGGGAGCCTACGGAGGGCAGAGCCAGGGTCAAAGACCAGGGGTGGGGAGGTGGGGGAAAGAGAGCAGGGAAGACAGAGTGAGGGGTAGGTCAAACCCTTGGAAAAGGAGACCATCCGAGGAAGGAGGAGCAATCTTAGGGGTCGAGGCTCAGAGGTGAGGACAGCTCCAAGTAGTAGGAGCCCATCCAAGTGGACTCACCGCCTGCAGCTTCTTCTTGGCAGCTTTGGCCAGCTCGGACAGGTCTAGGCTGTGGAAGGAGGAGGGAGATGAGAATGGGCAGACAGGAGAGGTGACCAGGCCCCCACTTGTGACTCCCAAACATGCAGGGATCCCAGGAAGACAACATCCCAGATGCTGCACACCAGATGCCACCCCCCACCCTGCCCCCAACCTCCAGAGCCTGCTCCCGAAGCAGACACCATATACCTCTGAGACATGCACTTTTGCCGAGATCTAAGTCCAGAGAAAGGCAGCAGAGGAAAGAATAGGACAGAGGCAGCGATTACCCAGGAGCAGGGCCCCACGTGCCTTCCACGGCAAGCTCAGACCCATCTCCATGTATACGCCAGACCCGGAGGGTGCAAAACGAACTCCTCTCCCCTCCCAACCTGCTCCTAGACCAACCTGCTCTCTCCCTCTGTGACCCACTCACCCAGCACCAGCGTCTGCTTCTAGGAGTCACCAGAAACCTCCCTCACCCTCAAGCCCCAGCCAAGCTTTCTCTGGTTCTGCCATCGATCCCTCTTTGCCTGGGCCTTTGCAAGTTTCTTCATCCATCTTCCCACTTCCAGTCTTGCCCCTACAACCCTTTTTTTCCACCCAGCAGCCTGGGTCATCTCTTTGACACGTTGGGCCACACTACCCCTGGCCTTAAAAACATCTTAATGACAAAACACATGTATGGATACTTCAACCGTACTTTAATAAAAAACTTCCTTAAAAAATATACTACGTGTTTAGTGTGCATTATCTTATTTTAATCCTGTCAACAGCCCAGAAAACATAGGTACTGTTGCCTTTATTCCCAGGAGGTAACTAAGCCTCAGAGAGGGTAAGTAGCCTGCCTGAAGTCACACAGCCAGTAAATGGCAGAGCTGACATATCCGGGCTTGGAACCTCTCTGCTCTTCTTGGGGCTCACAGGACTCGCCATTCTCTCGCCTGTTTCCAGTCCAGTGCTGCTCCTGGGATTCCCTGCTTCTCACACTATGCTCCAGCCACATGACTCCCTGCAGGTCCTGGCACAGCATTTCTGACTTATACCATTTATGCCTTTACTTCTGCTGTACTCCCCACACTGAACTACAGCTATCTGACCAGGCTGCCTCCTTCCCTGGACTGTGAGCTCCTGAAGGGCAGAGATCATATCTGAGTTACCCGTGTGTCTCAGGGCCAAGAACGGCAGCTGGCACCGGGCAGGTGCTCGGTTAGCCCTTTACTGAGTCCATGCCCATATGTGTTTAAACACATACACCAGACACATGCAGGTACACACACCCCGCAGAATAAGACCAGAGAAGTAGGAGGGAATCTTGGAGTCTCAGAACAGAGTAGGTCTGGGTTCAAGGATTCAAGACGCCTAGGCCTGGCAATCCCTGTCTGCCCACACTGGTCTTTGGAGAGGGAGGGAGCCTCCTCTCTCGGATCCAGGCCAGCAGGCACAGGTTGGAAAAATGGCCTTCAGATGTGGCCACCAGGTGGCGCCAGCATCCATCTTGTGAACTGGGTGCATGTCCCCCCACAGCCTAGGCGCGCGGAGGCTTTTCAGATCAGAGGCAGAAACACCTCAGTTGTGACGGGCCCTGCCCCCACCTCCCACCCCTCCCCAATTTCTGAGCACACCACGGAGGCCCAAAGTTAATCAAATCCCTGGAGCCCACCATCTTTTCAATGAAGAGCAGAGGCTCGTCTTAAGATTTTACAGTGGGGTGAGTGCCACTGGAGCAGAGCCCAGTGAGCCACCCCTCCTGGGGCAGGTGTTTCTTGTACTCAGGCCTATGTGTGATGGCCTGGGGCTCAGGCGGTGCTTGGCCATGTGCTGAGCTGACATCCCTTCCCTGCCATAGGGCCCAGCATTAGGGAGTGAGGATCTGACTGAAATGTTTGTACACCAGACCTGGGGTGGGGTCCCTAAAGCCCGGGGACTGGGAGGGGTAGAGGTTCTGGGGTTCAGGCACCCACATGGTGTCCAAAAGCCCCTGGGAAGGGGCATCAGGTGGGCACTCACCTGTCAGCCATCTGTGGGATGATGTAATGCCCATTCTTGTGATCTGAACAAAAATAAAAATGCCAAGTCACTGGTGCTGGGTGGCCTTAGCAGCTGGGAGCCCACCTCACTGCCACGAGCAGACCTTGGCACCCAGAAGTGTCAGGGCACAGGGATGAGGGCAGGCCACCCCCAAGAGCCCTGGGAGCTGACTGGAAGCGATGCCCACCCCCCACTCCCTACCCCAGTGTGCTGTAGCCCAGAGCCGTCATCAATTTCACGGGAGCCAGTTGCCTAGCAACACTGTTCCCCAGCCGGCTCGGTCACCATGGCACCTGCTGCTGGGGTGTGTCTGGGTCCCACCTGCCTGGCCGAGCCAGGCCCACCCCGCGTTCTGCTCACCCGGCTTGCGTCCACAGAGATAGAAGGCCAGCCGGTCAGTGAGCTCATACTGGCATTCGACTAGCCTTTCCGCCAGCTCATGGTGCCCCGCCTGCCTGTGGGGAGGGGGCATGGCTCAGCCCTGCCGCAGCAGTCCACTCCCCCCACCCGCCCAAGCCTCACCCATCATCCGACCCTCACCTGGCATAGTCAATGGGTGTTCGGCCATTAACATCAGGGGAGCCAGGATCAGCCCCATACACTACAAGAAGCTCAGCCTGCAGTGTCTGCCCCGCCTTGGCAGCCACATGCAGAGGTGTGGTGCCCTTCTCTGGATGGAAGAAGTTGGCCTGGGCACCCAGGGACAGCAGGCGCAGACATGTCTCCAAGTTGCCCGTCCGCACGCTTGAGTGCAGTTGCTGCAAGGAGCAGAGTGTGCAGCGAGTGTGTGTGAGCACCCCCCCCTCCCCCCCGCCCACCCCCAAGCCGTACGAAGTTAGGCAGCTGCTGGGACTCCTACCAGCTCCAAGGGCCCGGCTGAAGTTGGATTGTCAGGGAGGACAGAGGCTTTAGCGCCAAATACTCACAGCTGCTATCAGTCACCATCTACCTGTGCTATGGGCTCTGCTTGAAACAGGCATTATCTATGAGGGAGATGCTGTTGCTTCTTTCCCATTTTACAGAGGAGGAAACTGAGGCTCTGAGTGGCTAAGAAACCACCTCAAGTTTTCCCGGCTTTTGGATGGCAGCCTGTTGTGTCCACCTAGAGGCGGAGGGGCCTTGGCCACATGCAGCTGACCACCCAATCCCCATCCCCTGCTGTACCCACGATCCTTGCCTGACCCAGCTGGCTGCCTTTGGGGCCTAGGGCTCGGTGGTGATGGAGAGGCCCTCGGGGTGCTGTGGGCAACAGGAGGGGAGGCCCACCCATCTGTCCACCGTGGGGCCCCTCTAACCTTGCTTAGGTCTTTGGCAGTGACCCCGTCATCTTCCCGGCAAGGAAGCTTGTGCACAAATGCCAGCATCTGGTACTTGGCCCTGATGAACTCTGACTTGATGGGGCTGGATGGGGCACAGAGGATGAAATGGGTGGGGGCGCAGAGTGGGAGAGGCTATTCCCTCCGCCACCTCTCAGACCCACGTCCCACACCACACAGCCCCTGCCACCACCCCTCCGGCACAACTCACTGGACTTTGTCTTGGGGGTTGGCTTTGCGCCGGCCGCTCTGTACTTGCGCGGGGTCCAGCAGGGAATGCTCCCAGATGGAGTTGGCCCCGTTGCTGGCGAGCGTGTGCACCATCTGCAGAGAAGAAGTGCCAAGTGAGAGTGCCCACTGTGCACTGGGTACTGGGGGAAACACCTCCAAGTGCTGGCCGCAGCCGGCGTGGCTGCAACCAGTACCAAGGGGCCTGTTGTGTGCCTGCCACCATCACACCTCCATCCAGCCGGGCCGCCCAAGCACGTGGGTCCTGGTCAGCACCTCAGGTTGTATGGCGAGTGTGCCAAGGCTCAGAGAGATAAAGCAACTTGCTCAGTGCTATGTGGCCAAGCTAGTAAATGGTGGAGCTGCGGAGAGCCCCGGTCTGCGAGACCCCAGTCTCAGAAGCCCCCCCGCCATCTGCATGGCAAACACAATGGATGGAAAGGGTCAGGGTTAGGTTCTGCCCCAGGTGGGTGCTGCCCTCTGGAAGCCGCAGAATCCAGAGCAGCGTGTGTGGGTACGGGCGAAGTGTGCCCACGCGGCCTGGCCCCGTACCTGCAGCAGCGTAGGAGGCCAGGCGCTGTGGCGGAGGTGCTTGACAATGGAGATGTGGCGGCCCAGGCTCCGGTGCACACTGCAGCACTCGTCACACACCAGCACCCCCCTGCTGATGGAGGCCCAGCCAGGGTCTGCCAAAGGGGGAAGCCACAGTCAGCGGAGGCCAGGTCGTCGGCAGTGCGTGCCGGGCACCCACTCCGGGCCCACACTAGCACTTTGCTCACACACTTCAAATACCTAGAAACTGGGACCGCCGGGACACAGGTTGCTGAGGAGGAAGCTGAGCTATGGCGTAGGAGGGATTTCCCCAAAGGCTCGCAGCAGGTGACTGACAGCTGGGCCCCTTCCTACACATCTTTGCCTGTCTGGGGGGTGAGGGGGTGGGGGGAGGAATGTGTGGTCCCCAGGGCCTACTCAGCGGGTATGTCCTGCAGTCTTTCCCAGGGAACAAGACAGTTGGCCCAGGCCTTCCCCAGGGAGGCAGGAATCCTCTGGGGGATGTGACACCGATGCTACATGCCAGACATCCTAGACACTCCTGTGTCTGGGTCAGTGCCACATCTCTCCTGCACCCAGGCTTCTGCTGGAACCACTGGCCACCCGCCTGACCCACCATATCCTCCATGGGCTCCTCCCTTTGTCCTCATCTTGGCAGGCAAGAGGCTGTTTCATGCTGAGCCTCCTGCCACCATCACTGATGGGCTGAGCTGGAGCCCCTCTTAACAGGGATGGAGAGAGCAAAGGAACTAACATTGGACACCCACTGTGTACTAGATAGACCTGTATGTACGAGGTCTCTCACAACTGTCAGACAAGGCAGGAAATGCTATCCCTGCTTTACCAATGAGGAAATGGTGGCTCAGAGAGGTTAGAGCAGTTGCTCAAGGTCACACAGCTGATGAGCAGGATTGTTGGGATGTGGACCCAGGCACTTTAGACACCAGAAGCCACGCCATGTTCATACCCACTGCTTTTCCTCCGTTCTTGCCTGGAAGGGGTCAGGCCCAAGTGGGCAAGGGCCCTGGAAGCCACTCTTTACTCCCTGGGGAGCAGCAAACTTTGGAAACAAGAAGCGGGGCCAGGATAGGGTGGGAGCTCCTTGGGTGCTTCTCAAGGGCAGGGGAGATGCCACCCATCCCAGGCCCCTTGGGAGAGGGGGAGGAGACAGCTGCACACAGCTTAAGCTGTGGAAAGGTCACGGGGGAGAAAGCAGCCATTGTGTGCCTCCAGAGAGTGGGGGCAGGGAGCTTCTCTCCCAGGACACTGTGCTCTGCCCCGGGCCCCCCACCCCAGTCTCAGGAATCCCTGTGCTGGGTGGGGGAGCAGGGACTGGCTATCTTCCTTGCCTGGGAGTGCTTAGGGAGTCCAGAAGTGGGCCCCCCAGGGGAGGGACAGGCTTGGGGTAATGAGAGCCTCTCCAACCAGAAGGCAATTCTCAGGCCCTTCCCCACAAGGACTTCCATCAAAGTTTCCAGGAGAATTGTAAGGAGACCGAGTCAGGGTGCAGCCTTTGTTCTGCCTACAGCAAGTGTCCCGTCCATAGGGGACAGGAAGAAACAAAAAGTGAAAGAGGGGGTTCAGCTCTTTGGGTCTGAGCTTCTTTAGGCATCTACCCAAAAACAGGGCAACAAGATGCCTGCCATACACCTTCCTGGGAGCTGATTCCAGGGGCCCACGAGGAAGGGATCCACCATCTGTGCCAAGAGGGGGAGCCCAAGGACACTCTTTAGTACAGGCTTTACCCAAACAGTGAGGCACCCCAGTGAGGCACATGGAAAGCTCCCTCCCCCCACTCCCAAATCACTGGGGTTAGGGGTCTGCCAGCCACCAGCCACCTCCGGCAGCCCAAGCAGGAAGCTGGAAATGACGCAGCCTAAATTCCTCTTGTTGAAACGGTGGGGTTTCCTGTAAATGGGGAGCCGCCCAGGCCAGGATCATAAATGGGCCGCCCTGAGGCCTCCAGCCCAGGCCCATGGCTCTACCGGAGAAGCAGGGCCTGGGAAAACTGCACATATATCGAGAGCCAGACCAGACATGGTGAGACTCTGAACATGGCAATGACCAAGAAGAGATCAGGATTTGGGGAATGTAGTCCAAGGATTTGCTAGCCACTCAGCCTGGGGGAGGGGTCCTCCCTCTCCTCCACAATGACCTGAAACAGGAAGGTTGAGCAGGGGGCACTGTCCTGGCCTGGGGAACGCTGGTGTCAGCTCACTGGGCTACACAGATGAGAAGCCCACTACCTACTTCTTACATGCCCGAGGGGCCTTGCGTCTACCCAAGCAGGAGCCCCCAAGCCCCACTTAGGCCAGTTCCTAAGGCCAGGTAGAGTTTCTGAAAAGTCAAATGGCTATTGTAGCTGAAGGTTAAGGGACTCTTGCCCCCAAGAGGCTCCCTAGACTAAACTTGGGGTGGAAGGGACAGGGACATAAGGGGTTTTTTGTTTTAACAGGCTCCATGCCCAACTGCCAAGTGTGGGGCTTGATCTCATGAGATCAAGAGTAGTATGCTCTACTGACTGAGCCAGCCAGGCGAGAAGATGCGGTGACCTCCTCAGTATCCTGCCAACACTCCTGGCAGCTTCTGCTTCAGGGTGGGGGTCTGGGAAGTGTGGGCAAGTGGTAGGAGGGATCCTGGGATAATGTTAACCATGCAGGCCTCTACTAAGGTGAATTCATGTCATCACTCAAAGCCATTAGTAGCCTCTAAGTCTGCTCTAAGGGCCAGCGTCTCCTGAGCAAATTGTCACTAGGCACGAGGGAGAAGCCCACCATCTTGAAAGCAGCTAAGAGTAATTAATCCATGGGGATAAAGATCAGAATGGCGGTTACTTTTGGGGGCTGTTGAGTGGGAGGGGGCAGAAGAAGGGTCCAGAGAGCGATGGAAATGCTCTACCTCTTGACTGGAGTGGTGGTTACGCAGGTATATAGACATGTGAAAACTCAACAGGCTAAACAGTAAGCTGCAGGAACTCTGCTGTACCTAAATTAAACCTCAGTAAAAGAGGAAGAGAGCCCACCATTCACCCCACCCAACAACCTACATTGTGAAGAAACAAATGAGCCTGCAGGTTTCCAAATGTCCCCAGCCAGTGGCCATCCATGCTCATCCAAGGTGCCACCCGAGGTACTTCAGGTACCTTGAGGTGTTCACTCCTGTGCCACCAAAGTGGAAAGGTTGAGATAGAGGCCCATGGGATGAGGAGCAGGCTCTTGAGCTGGGCCAGGACTGTGTGGCAGAGTGAATGGAGGGGGACGTGGGGGGAACACATTCTCCAGGGTTCCTGACTGCTGCCCCTCCCTTGCCTTCATGGCAGGCAGGTACACATGTGGGGCCTGATGAGGTAGTACCACAGCAGCCAAGCCATGCCCAGCTGTCTTACAAAATCCACCTGTCACTTATATGCCCAGGCCTGGGAGCAGAGGGAGGATGAAGACCTTTGGGGTCAGCCTGCACTTCACCTTTCACCTCTTTAACCTCCCCAAATTAACCAACCACAAAAAGGCCACGGCCCCACCCCTAGGGCTGGACCCCCCCCCCCCCCACTTTCACAGTGAGAGAAGCCTATGACTAGGTAGGAGGCATATACCAATGGAGTCCAGACTGTTGTTTACCCTCGAGCCTCATACCTGGACTGCTACAGTCCCACACCGGGGATGCCCCTCCCTGCATCCTACAGTGGGGAAATGGGGTAGCCAGCTGGGTTCCTGACAAGCATCCAAACACTCAGGGAGTGCCTGCTGCCAGGTGCTGGGGTAGGGTGATGTGTAAAGACTTTGTCAGCACCCTGCCCACCGCACTCCTCACCTTCTCACCACCTGCCTCTTCTGACCTGTATTCTGGATCAGGGTAAAAGGAGGTACCTGGGGCAAAAATGCCTCTGTGGGACAATGACTATGGATAGGAACCAGACAGTCCCAAGATATCAGATACATACCACTCCTTCCTGAGCCCACTGGGCACCCAGAGGCTTCACACAGCCAAACGCAATGAAAGAGGGACAACCGCCTTGCTGATTCTGCCCTATGTCCCTCTGGCTGAGAATCAGGACCACAGACTTCAAGATGGGATGGTCCTCAAAAACCATGTTTATTCCAACTTCTTTACCTCACAATTGAGGAAACTGAGGCCCAGAGTGAGGAAAGTCTTGCCATGGTTCACAGGGTAAGCTGATAGGGTGTCTGCTAATCACTCCCCACCCCCATGCTATGCCTGCCCCGCATAGGTATAGACCAGCGTGGGAGAGGCATAGAAGGCAAGCTGTCCTCTTAGCCCTTCCATCCCCAGACGTGCATGTGGTTGGGGGAAGGAGATCACAGTTTCCAGCTCACTAGGGTAAGGACACATAAGCCCAGATAGCTTCTTCAGGGTCCTCTAGACCTGAGAGGAGTCACAGGGTCACAACCACCCACAGAGTACCACGTCTCTTCCAGGCATCCACAGTGCCAAACTCTCCAGCCTGGAGGCATCAGAACCACCAGAGTATCTGTGGGTCCCAACCTGTTGGGGCCCCGGGCCTGTCCAAAGGGTAGCTAGAAGTTATGGGCCCATGAAACAGCACTTCACACTGTCACACTTAATTGTGCCCACAGTCCCCCTGGAGTTCACAGACACACTGAGCCTTCCCAGAGGTCTCCCAGGGAGATAGCTCCTTTTTAAAAGAGAGGATGGACAAGAGCCAGGGCTTCCTTCCCCAGGCCAGCTGCTGAGCCCCATCACTGGCAGTGTCCTCCCACATCATAAGATAGCAGCCTCTCAGGTCACTGCTCCTCACTTCCTCAGATCAGGGGTGGGGGGTTCGCATCAGCCTGGATCTGACTGTGCTGGGAAGAAGGGAAACACCCCGGTAAATACAGCCAGGAGGCAGGCGAGGAAGCCAGATCCTGAGAACCTAGGCGCCCTTGGGTACTGTTCCCTAGCCATTTCTGGTCAGACTGGGCTAGAGGGCTAGGAGGGGTCTGTGCCCAAGCTGGGTCAATGCTAAGCCCCCTTCCCAAGCAGGCCTTACTGGTGCATAGGAAAAGCCGAGCTAGTTGCTCCCAGGGATGCCTCAGAGGAAGATGCCCAGACTGTACTGGCCCTCAGCACCAGGCCCTGCAAGGAGCCCCCGCCTTGGGAAGTAGGGGCAGGGAGTCCTAGGAGGAGCCACCCCCTCGTCTGCTCACGAGGAAACACTATCCAGGCCTCCCCTGGCCCATCTGCCCGGTTCTCTGCCCCTTGACCTCCACCACCTCAGCGGGAGCGCAGACCATGCGAGCAGCAGGTGCAAGACGCGGGGGTGGCACTGAGATGACACAAAACCACACTCACCCCCACTTCCTAAACCTTGCTGGCCTCTGCCACAGCCCTCCTGCCACCCCACCACCCCAGGCTGGCGCTTCCGTTGGGATATAGAGATGGAAGGTGGTGGCGGGCG